CTTCCTTCCGAGGAGTGGCTGCTGGGTTTGAACCGCCAGCCTTCTGGTTAGCAGTCACGTGCCTTAGGCACTGCGCCACCAGTTCTCCCGTAATTCTATCAGCTCATGATTATTGAGCATCTGGAATGTTCTGGGCATTCTGGTAGCCAGCAGCCTTGTGTTAATCTTCAGCCATTTCAGAGAATTAAAAGGCTCACGGTCATGGGAGGTGCGTAGGAGACGAAAGGGGAAGGGGTGCCTCTGATTGCAACCCTAACCCAGCCCCAACATGCCTGGCAGGATGGATGGCAAGCGGCGGCAAGCCCCAGGACCCGGTGTGCCCCCAAAGCGGGCCTGCGGCGGCCTCTGGGACGAGGACGACATGCCTCGGCCGTCGCAGTTTGAGGAGGAGCTGGCGCTGATGGAGGAGATGGAGGCAGAGCGCAGGCTGCAGGAGCAGGAGGAGGAGGAGCTGCGGTCGGCCCTGGAGGGGGCTGCAGACGGTGAGGCCGGGAGCGGGACCCCTGCCCTGCCTGCCCCTGCTCTTGCCTCCGAACCAGGTCACACAGCTGACCTGTGACCTGTGACCCCCCCACATCCTGATCCCTGACCTCTGGTCCATTTAAGTCCCAGGAGAGGCTGACTTTCGACCCTTCAGCAGTATGTGACCTGGTACCTGCTGTTTCTGACCTGACCCTGACCCTTGACCCCAGCAGTCTCTCCTGAGTTTCCCTGCCAACCCAGACCATCATCACATGATTTTATTTTTTTAAACTGGGCACCATCTGAGAGTCGTGGTTGGGATAGGAGGGTTGCCCATTTCTAGGGGGACCGTGACTCCATGTATCCCCACTTCTCTCCCCTCCAGGGCAGTTCTCCCCATCAGCCCTGGATCCCCGCTGGCTTCGGCCTTCCCCACCTCACCTGGACCCCCAGAAGGAGCCCCTCATCTTTCAGCAGTTGGAGATCGACCATTATGTGGGTGAGTTTGGGGGGTAGAGGTCGGGGGGGAGACCCTTCTGGCCCTGCTCTCGGGTGCTGTTATGGGTGAATCGTGTCTCCTGAGATGTGTGTTGTAAATCCTGACCCCGTAGCTGTGGTTAACCTGGCTGCTAAGCAGGTCAGCAGTTGAAAGCCACCCACTGGTCCCTGGGAGGAGGGTGAGGCTGTCTGCTTCTGTCGTAAAGATCACAGCCGTGGAAACCCAGGGGAGGTCACTGTCAGTTGGAATCAACTCTATGGCAGTGGGTTGTTTTTTGTTGTTTTTTTTAAATACCTGTGGTTTTGGGGCTAAGTGGTTCCACACTCAGCTGCTAGCTGAAAGGTTGGCAGTTTGAATCCACCAGTCACTCCATGGTAGAAAGACCTGCAGTCAGCTTCAGTAAAGACTGACAGCCTTGGAGACCCTGTGGGGCAGTTCCACCCTGTCCTCTAGGGGCGTTGTGAAGCCACTGGACTGCAGTGGGTTTGGTTGGTTTTCCGGTTTCTGCTGCCCCAGGGGTCTTGGCTCACAAGCTTGCATGCCTTGTCTTCCTTTTGTTTCTCTCCTCTGCTCTTACAAGGACACAGCTCACATTAGATTGGGACCCACCCCACTCCAGTGTGACCTTGTGAACTTAATAGATAACATTCCTGAACCCTGTGCCCAAACAGGGCCACCTTCATGGGTACCAGGGATTGGACTTCAGCAGATCTTTTGGAGAGACACCATGCAGCCTGTCGAGGCTGTGGGGGTCTGCGGTAGCATTCTC